TCCATTTTGTAGTAATTATTCTTAGAAAAGTTGTCGGGTGTGGTGGCTCACGCCTGTAATCCTAGCACTCTGGAGGCTGAGGCAGGAGGATTGTTGCAAGTTCCAGACCAGCCTGGGCTACAAAGTGAGCTCAAGGCCAGCCTGAACTACATAGCCAGACCCTGTCCCAAAAGGACAAAAAAAGAAAAAGAAAAATCATAGTGGTTTTCCTACCAGTATCTCTGAGGAAAAGATCAGAGATCTAGGAGTTAAGAGAAGAGTTTATGAATTCACAGTTTTCTTGCAAATTCAGGTGTTCTGGCACTCTAGTGCCCACGTCCTGGGGGCAGCCGCTGAACAATTCTTGGGTGCTGTTCTCTGCCGAGGTCCAAGTACAGAACATGGCTTTTACCATGATTTTTTCCTGGGAAAGGAACGGTGAGTAGTGCGGCAAGGAATAAGGGGAATTCATTCTGGGGTGGTTTTTGAGACTCTTTTTCTGGGGCCTCAGCCATGTTTAAGGAGAAAGCTCTTTAGGCCTCACCTGTGACACTGGTACAACCTCTCCATTAGGTCGTGTCCCTCTTGTAACTCTGCTTGAAATTTACCTTTTGTCTTCATAAATTTTCAAATCTTACTTCATCTGTTCATTACTATGCTTCTTATTTTGTTCATGAAAATTTCCTGCAGTCAGTTTTTAACTTCAAGCATATCCCAGGCCTTGTGGTGACCACCTATAATTGCAACACTCGGGAGGCTGAGGCAGGAGGATTGCCATGAATTTGAGGCTAGCCTTAGCTACATGGTGTGTTCAAGGCCAATCTGAGACTGTGGCTCAAAAAAAAAAAAAAAAAAAAAAAACCTTCTTGCATAGAGTTTTTATCCAGCTGTAAAATCTATACCTTAGGCTAAAGATATGGCTCAGTGCCAAAGCACCTGCCTAGCCTTGCAAAGCCAAAGGGTTGATCCCCAGAAGTGCACACACACACAGATCTCTTCCTGATTTCCTATTCTTGTTTTCCTATTCATGTTTTCCTGGGCTTATCAGTCTCTGCCAGTACCTATAGATTATTTTTCTTGGAAAGTAATATTTCCCACTTAAGCCAACTAGTGTATCACCCAGTGATACTTCTTAGAGGAAGTAAACCAACAACTCTCCTCTCTCCAGGACAGTCCAGGGCTCAGAGTTACCTCTTTTGGAGCAAATTTGCCGGAGGATTGCAGCTGATGCACAGCCCTTCCGCAGGCTGGAGGCTTCCCGAGATCAGCTGAGTCAGCTCTTTAAGGTAGGTTATAGTGCAGTTTTAGGAGGAAGATTGAGCTTTGAGGGAGGGGCAGCTCTTTGTCAGGGCATTTTAATGGGAATGAAGACTTGGCTTCCCTCTTGCCGTCCACTTTTCTTCCAGGATAACCCCTTTAAGCTTCATCTGATCAAGGAGAAAGTGACAGGCCCAACAGCAACGGTGTATGGGTGAGCTCTGTCAGACTGAAGAAGAAAGAGGGTGGGGTGGGGAAGCAGTGGAAAGGCCTGAAAACCATCAGGGAAGAGAAGTGAATGGTACTCTCTGTTGCTCCAGGAAAAGAAATGAGAAGAATTGATATTTTTCTGGCATTGTTCTCTCTGTAGAATAGTTCCTTCCCCTTTACCTCCTCTTGTCAGCTAAAGACCATGAAAGAGAAAATGAGTCAGGTATGGTGTTGCACGCTTGTAATCCCACACTTGGGAGGTTGAGGCAGGAAGGTCAGCATGAGTTTGAGGCTAGTGTAAGCTACGTAAGCGAGCTCAATGCCACCCTGCACTACATAGCAAGGCTTTGTCTCAAAAAACAAACAAACAAGATACTCGGGACAGTGGTCTAGAAACCACTGACTGGCCTCTACTCTCCCCCAGGTGTGGCACATCAGTTGACCTTTGCCAGGGACCCCATCTTCGGCATGCTGGACAGATCGGAGTGCTGAAGCTGCTCACGGTCAGTTGGGAGGCTGTCATTAGGGTGAGGCTTGTATTTTCACAGGAGCAAGCAAGAGGATGGAAAGGCAATCCTCTCTTCTAGACCTTGCTCTACTGTCATAGCTAAGGAAGGAGTCTAGAAGGAAAAGATACTTGGTCCCCAGATTCTACAATCTCCTGATTTGATGGCAGATTCTGGATACCCTGCCAGGGCTCAGAAGCAGCCAGCCAGCCTGCCTGCCTATCTATCTATCTATCTATCTATCTATCTATCTATCTATCTATCTTTCTCTCTACCTGTCTATTTATTTTTGTAATGCTGGGGGTTGAACCCAGGGCCTGGTGCATACAAGGATGGAATTCTACCACTGAGCCACATCCCCAGCCCCCAGAAGCCAATTTAAATTCCCTAGTCTGACATTAGTGTTAAGAGAGATATAGCCATAAAGAGAAAACAGAACAAAAAAGAAAATAAAAAACAGAGGCAATCAGAAATAGTGGCACACACCTGTAATCCCGGTAGTGGAAGGCTGAGGCAGAAAGATCACAAGTTAGAGCCCACCCTGTACAATTTAGTGACTTAGCAAGACCATATCTCAAAAAAAAAAAAAAAAAAAGTTATAATTCAGTGCAAGGCCCCTGAGTTCAATCCTCTGTACCCCACCCCTAAAAAGAGAAGAGGGAGAGAGAAACATGGAGCTGGGTGTGAGCTGTCTATACAAGGAAGGGAGGCAGGGCTGTAGAGGGCTGTGGAGGTAGATGAATGACTCCTGTTTGACGGGCACAAGGAGAATGCTCTGTGTTAAGTGCATGTCTTTTATAAAAGCACTGCTCTTCTTTCCCTAGTAAATATATACTGCTCTTGACAAGGAGAACTACTAGATGGGGTGGGAGCAGGGAACAAAGGCATAGGTAGGTATGCAGAAGAAAAAACCTTAGGCTGAAAACTTAGCTCTCTGCATTGGTTCTCAGTGTGCCACGAGAGAAGTATTGGCCCTGGCTGACCTCCTTACCCAAATTTTCTCCATCTATAAAACAATTCCTGTACTACCAGTAAATCCACATCATAGACACAGTGAAAACTAACACAAAAGAAAGCACTATAAAATGTAGGTTCTTGCTTGGTGTGGTAACACAGGCCTATAATGACAGTATTGGGGAGGCTGAGGCAGGAGGATTTCAAGATTAAGACCACCCTGGGGTATAAAATGAGTTTAACATAAGCCTGAACTACAGACTCTGTCTCAAAAACCAAAAACAAACCCAAAAAACAGGTTCTTTCTTATTAGTAGTATTTATTGTTAAAGAAAAGAGTAAGTTTTAAAATTTCATGTGACCAGAAGTAGGATGTATGGAAGGAAGGTTGACTTTTGTAGGAGTTGTATGGGATATTCATAAGGGGATGGATAGACTGACATTTGCCTGGAGTTTAGTTACTCCTCTAAGCAGTCATTGATTAGAAGGGGAAGGAACTTAGTACAGGGGTACTGGTAGGGCAGGGAGAGTAGGGAGAGAAGGAGGTGGCCTGAGCAGTCCAGAGAAAGGACACCCATATTTCCAGTGCTGGTGGGAGGGGAAGTGATGAGAGAGATGGGATGGGACTCTTGAAGGGGCAAACCTGTACCACTTACGCCGAGCATCGATGCGCCTTGATAGAGTCAGGCACCTTTGTCGTCATCCTCCTCTTTCCTTTGATCCCCTCTGTCTTCTCACAGAACTCCTCGTCCCTGGGGAGATATCCAGGGAGTCCAGCACTGCAGAGAGTGTCGGGGATTTCCTTCCCCACAGCCAACTTGCTGAGGGCATGGGAAGCACAGCAGGAGGAAGCTCAGTCTCGGGACCACAGGCGCATTGGAAAGGTACAGAGCTTGGGAAGAGGCAGGAGGTGATGTGGGGCGGAGAGAGACAGAGGAGCCTGAATGCGAGATGGTGAGCAGATTCAGTACACAAGACTCTGCAGCTCTGTCAGTTGTCTCTTCGAATCCCAAAGTCCCCTGCCTCACCTTGAAATGACAGTTGCCATTCTGTCCCTAGGAACAAGAGCTCTTCTTTTTCCATGAACTGAGCCCTGGGAGCTGCTTCTTCCTGCCACGTGGGACCAGGGTGTATAATGCCCTGGTGGCATTTATAAGGGTAAGGGAGATCCAAGTCCAGGGAAAAGGAGACAGGGCTGGGGCCTCAAAGCCGTTTTTGTTTTGGAGGGAATAGGAGGCATAAGCTGTGAAATGTGGCGATCTGTAGTGAGGTGCTGCAGTTGTGTGGCATCAGTGGGGAGCGGAAACAGGACTTGTAACAGCTTGTGGCTGAGGTCAGCACGGCCTGAGAGCCCAGGAAAACCAGCCGGCTGCCTTCCTGCCATGTCTCCTTCCAGTGATGCTAACCTACGTCTCACCTCCTCTCCAGGCTGAGTATGCCCGCCGCGGTTTTTCAGAGGTGAAAACTCCCACACTATTTTCTGTGAAACTGTGGGAACAGTCGGGGCACTGGGAACACTACAGGGAAGACATATTTACCCTGCAGTCCAAGGGCTGTGACAGGCCTGCCAGCCCCCAGAGTGACCACCTGGCCCGACATCCCACAGCAACCCTCGCCCTCAAGCCCATGAACTGCCCGGCACACTGGTGAGCTGGGAGCCAGGACAGCTGGGTCCTGCTGGGGCTGCAAAACAGGTTGAAAAGACTAGTAGAGCGTCTGATTTGAGTCTGGAATCCAGCCAGCCAGCTGGGTTTGGGGAAATCATTCTACCTCCTGGGTCTCGGTCTCCTTACAAGTAACGTGAAGCTGGGTGTAGTACCGCATGGAGGCTGATGCTGGAGGATCACCATGAGTTAAAGGCCACCCTGAACCTCATAACGAGAAGACCCTGTCTCAAAAAAATAAAAAGTAAAATTTAAAACAAGTAGCATCAAGGCTCAGTGTTCATCACAGAACGGGGCGCACTGAGTGACGGCTGTACTGTGTGGCTGACAAATCGGCTTTTGACCCAGGTGGGCTCTGACTATGCCAGGGACTTGGTGGGCAGAGAGGACGGAGCTGGAGGTGCAGGGAAAACAAAGGCAGATGGAGCAGTCGTGAGGCGCTGGTTCTCCCTGTGGCCCTGACCCCTCCCCACCTCGCCCTCAGCCTGATGTTCGCCCACCGGCCTAGATCCTGGCGGGAGCTGCCTGTGCGACTAGCTGACTTTGGAGCCCTGCACCGAGCTGAGGCCTCTGGCAGCCTGGGGGGACTGACACGACTTTGGCGCTTCCAGCAAGATGACGCTCACATCTTCTGTGCCCCGGATCAGGTGGCCCTTCCTGGCCCCACCAGAGTATCTCCTGCCCCACCTTTAATTCTCCTAATGAACCCCCAAATCTCTGTGATCTTCAGTTACCCTTTGTATCTAATATACTTCCGCTCCCTCTGCCTGCAGCTGTCTTCTACTTCCCCTGTTTTCGCTCTCTTCCTCCAAACCACTGTCATCCCAGGTCTCCAGCTGACACACAGCTCACCCTCCCTTATTTCCTGCCCACAGCTGCAAGCAGAGATCCAAGGCTGTCTTGATTTCCTCCGCTCTGTCTATGCTGTCCTTGGCTTCTCCTTCCGCCTATCACTGTCTACCCGGCCATCTGGCTTCCTGGGGGAGCCTCGCCTTTGGGGCCATGCTGAGCAGGTAAGCAGGCTGGAGGGAAGCAGAGATAAAGCACTCTTCAGCAGGGGTGGGGGTGGTAACCAGGATCCTCCCATGGAGACACATGCGAGGAGTCATTGGGGGGCACAGATGAGAGATGTTGCTCATGAAGTTGCAGGTGACATGTCCCTCTCTTATCTCATTCCCTCCAAAGGTCCTTCAGCAGGCCTTAGAGGAGTCTGGAGAATCCTGGGACCTCAAGCCTGGAGATGGTGCCTTCTATGGCCCTAAGGTAAGCTGGGGACCCTGGTTATAGTATTGTTCATATTTTGTTCATATGGGGGGGAGTATTTTTTTGAGACAGGGTCTCTATATATTTGCAGACTGGCCTTGAACTCACTTATGTAGCCCAGGCTCACCTCGAACTCATGGCAGTCCTCCTACCTTAGCCTCCCAAGTGCTGGGATTACAGGTGTGTGCCACCATGCCCAGCTTTTTTTTTTCATATTTTGTTTTCTTTCATTAACTATTTAGTATATGCAAGGAAATACCTTAAAACTTGCATAGAATATAAAGAAGAGTGTTATATTCTCTGCTGCCATGGAATTTGCAGTCTAGCAACAGCTGTAGAAGGTAAATAGGCCATTTCAGTGCCTTGTGTCAGTGCTACATTAAGTACTAAGGGAGCACAAAGAGATTGCTCAGGACACAGGAAGGGCTTTCTGCAAGAATCACTGTCCAAGCTGGACGTGGTGGCACATGCCTGTAATCCCAGCACTAGGGAGGCTGAGGCAGCAGGATCGTTGCGAGTTCAAGGCCAGCCTGAACTGCATAGCAAGACCCTGTCTCAAAAAGACAAAAAAAAAAAAAGAAAAAAAAAAAAAGAGGAATCACTGTCCAGCTGGACGTAGTAGCACACATCTGTAATCCCTGGGGAGGCTGAGGCAGCACTGGGGAGGCTGAGGCAGGAAGATCACCATGAGTTCACGGTTAGCCTGAGCTACATAGTGAGTTCAAGGCCAGCTTTTGAGACCCTGTCTTGAAAAACAACAACAATAAAAAACAAGACTCATTCTCCAGTCCAAAGCTGTCATTGTTGCCCAGGTAAAGAGCTGTTTCAGGAGGGAACAGTATGGGGTTAAAACTGACAGGGTGATTTAGAAGAAGTGAGAGAAGTTGATGGTGAGTCGTGAGTAGCCAGACATCATGGCACACACCTATAATTCCAGCACCGTGGAAGGCAGAGGCAGGAGGATCTAAGTTCAAACCAGCCTAGGCAACTTAGCCACTCAGTGGGTAGAGGAAGGGAAAGGACTGTAAGTGTCTGCTGGATTCAGTAAAAAGGCTCTTAGGAGCCCAGTGCGGTGATTCACACGCATAATCTCCGCTACTCCAGAGGCCGAGGTAAGCGGATCACTTGAATCCATGAATCACTTGAAACCAGCCTGGGTAAAATAGCAAGACCCTGTCTCCAAAAACAAGAATGAAACAAAACAAGGGAGCTGGAGATGCAGCTCCGTGACAGAGCACTTGCCTGACATAGAAAAGGCTCTGACCGGGCCTAGTGGTACAGACCTGTAATCCCAGCACCCTGGGAGGCTGGCGCAGGAGGAAAAGGGCTGGGGAAGTAACTCGTGTAAAGGTAGGTCCTGGGTTCAATCCCCAGTACACACACACATACATACACACCCCAACTTCGTGTTAACTAAGAAAAAAATTTCAAAAGGGCTCAACATTGCACTTAAGGGTGTAGAGATACAGTCAGTGACAAAGTATGTATTATGCAGTGCAACATTATTCTGCCTCAAAGAAGGATAAGCTTGAGACATTTCTAGGAAAATGGATGCACCTTTAGTCCGTACTCTTAAGTGAAATAAATTGGACACATATGTTTAAATATATCTCATTGTTCCGGGCGTGATGGCACATGCCTCGATCCCAGCACTCAGGAGGCAAAGGAGGAGGATCGCTTTGAGTTTGGGACCAGCCTAGGATACACAGTAAGTTCGAGGCCAGTCAGTCGGAACTACATAGTGAGATCCTGTCTCAAAAAAGAAAAAAAAAAAACACCAAAAATTGTTTCTGTGGTATGAGAAACCAGAAATGTAAATAAGGACCAAAATGTGTGATTGATATTGGGAAATTGGAAGAAAATGTTCAAATAAGAAGGGAAACGGGGTGGGGAGGGAAGGATAAGAAAAAATGGAAATAAGTAGAGGAAAAGGGGCTAAAGGTAGGGGAGGAGAATGGGAAAAAAAGAAACAAGATATATCATGTACAGGTTCACATCCCCTGTGATGAATGTGATCATTATGTATATCTAAAATGTACCAGTAAAGTTAAAAAAAATTACCAAAAAAGTATATATTACAGTAAATCAGTCTAATATATTGTTTACCAAGATGCTGTTATAAAGAGACAAAGGTTAAAAATCCCTGAGGAGAACATGGGCGAGGGTTGATGAGGTTAGCCAAAGGGCCACAGGCGCAGCTGGGCCCAGCGCAGTCTCGCTGCAGTGCCTTCCGTGGTGCTGTCGGTCTGTGCTTGGCATCCGTGTGGTAGATGACAGCGTGGGCAGCACTGAGATCTTTGGGCCGAGGAGACAGGAGGCGGAGGTGCTCCCAGAGTGGGGTTTGGCGGCACAGATGTGAAGGAAGAGCAATGAATGGTGCACGGGAACTGGGACACAGCTCCAGCTGCCTGGGCAGGGAAAGAGCGGAGGGAGGGCTGAGCATTGGGAAGAGAAGAGGGGAGCTAAGTGCACTTGAAGAGCCGGGAATAGGAGTAACTGTCACCTAGAAGAGCAGGAGAGCTGCATCCGAGCAGGTGTTTGATGGATGGACTGAGAAGAACGCAAGGAATTGAGGGGCTGGGGAAAGCAGATCCCTCATGTTGCTCTTAAGTGCAGGGTGCCCCTGGCAGAGTAGGTGTGGCATGGAGAACTAGAGCACCTGGGTGGCATGACTGCACGTGTTCAGGACGTGTGTGGTGGGACAGTGGGGTGGCTGGATCTGGTCTCTCTCACACCTCCCGTCTTCCTCCTGCAGATCGACGTGCACCTCCAGGATGCCCTGGGTCGGCCCCATCAGTGTGGGACGATCCAGTTGGACTTCCAGCTGCCCCTGAGATTCAACCTCCAATACAAGGGGTACAGAACCTGCCCGTCCCCTTTTCCCTTGACAGCCCATGCAGTGGGTCAGCAACTCCCCTACCTTTGACCCTAAGCACTAAACAAAGTCCTCTACACCTCCCTTGCCAGGTCTGAATATTTCTCAAAAACTGGAAGGATGATGATGGTGGGCACACAGTTTGTGGCACTGCCACCATGCCACTCGCTTGCTTTCTTCTCCTTCGCAGGCAGGCGGGAGCCCTAGAGCGTCCGGTCCTCATCCACCGGGCAGTGTTGGGCTCTGTGGAGAGGCTGTTGGGAGTCTTGGCCGAAAGCTGTGGGGGAAAATGGTGAGACCCCAGTACTACATTTCTCCTCTGGCCCCCAAAATAAATAGTTCCTGCCCCAGGTCCTGTCCTCTGCATGTATCCAACTGTTTCCTTCTGTCCTCTGCTCCCTGAAAACACGTTTCTGCCCACTGCCAAAATGAGTAATGTGTTGCCTTGTTCCCTCTTAACCAGGCCCCTGTGGCTGTCCCCATTCCAAGTGGCGGTCATCCCTGTGGGGACTGAGCAGGAGGAATATGCCAAGGAGGTGAGGAGCTGGGGCAGGAGCAGCCAGAGTGAGGTGCCCAGCACTGGGCGGGATGAGCCTTCACGGGGTCGAGGACGGGCACAGCTCTTGGAGCCACAGATTGGGCTTGAGTGGCAGTGTCCTGTGTGCTAGAAACTCTGTATCTGAAAGATGAGCCAAGCTGGCATGGAACACATACCTCTGATCCTAGCACTTTAGGGGGCTGAGGCAGGAGAATTGCAAGTTTGAGTCCCACCTAGCCAATTTGTTAAGAGCCTATCTCAAAATTTTAAAAGGGTGCTGGGGTTGTAACTCAGTGCAGTAGCCCTGGGTTTAATCCCCAGTATTGCCCCAAACCCCAGATTTCTGCCTTGTAGACATGTGGAAAAATTAAATTAACAAATGTTAAATGCTGACATGGCACAAAAATGGGCTTGGGTAAATGTTGGTTTTATTTTTTCTTTGTGTGTGGTAAGGCAGGGTCTCAGTTATACAGGTCAAGCTGGCCTTGAACCCATGGTGATCTTCCTGCCTCGGTCTCCCAAGTGCTGGGATTACAGGCATGGGCCACCACGCCCAGCGATCTTTCCCTTCTAAAGAGAACTGAGACTTGAGATGGTTGCAGAATTGAATAGCTGCCGAGGATATAGCTCAGCAACACAGCGCCTGCCTGGCAAGTGCAAGGTTCTGAGTTTGATTTCCGGTACAAAAAAAAAAAAGAATTGAGCAGCTGGCTGAGTGGAGTGGTGGCCAGCAGCAGGCAAAGTCCAGGGAAAAATTGAGGGCTCCGCTTCAGTAGGAGTTACACAGAAAAGTTGTGAGCTGGGGAGGAAGCGTCCGAGTGGAGATGAGAGGAAGCTGCTGGTGAGACGTGGAGAGCACCGAGGTAGAGGTGATGAGCACATCCGAAGCTCCCTCCTCAGCCGCCCATTCGCTTGTCCCCAGATACAACAGAGTCTGCAGGCTGCAGGGCTGGCTGGCGACCTGGACGCAGACCCAGGACTGACTCTCAGCCGCAAAGTCCGCCGGGCCCAGCTTGCTCACTACAATTTCCAGTTTGGTAAGAGAGGGTCCACCCGGCACCTCAGCTGGCCCTGATTCTCTCACTGCCCTCTGCATCCCTTTCTGTTCCATCTGCTGAGCTCGCCTGTGCGCACAGTAGGTTCACTGGGGCTCCTTCCCAAGCTGGGGCGAGCCTGACTAATTTGTCCTCTCTGTTCAGTCACACTGCTGCGCTTTCCCTCACCATAATTTCCCTCCTGTTAACCCCACCCTAAGGGGTTTCTATTTAATTAATTATCCAGGGGAGCATCAGAGAGAAAGGGGTGAAGGGTGAAGTCATTAATTAGCCTTGTTTACACCTGCCTGGGTGAGTCAGCCCTGAGGGATGCGGGAATTTCTTTTATGCTGGGGATTGAATCCTGGACCCTGCACATGCTATGCAAGTGCTCTACGGCTGAGCTGCAGCCCCAGCTCCCACCCTCTTTGTGGCACTCGTGATTGAACCCAGGGCCTTTGCTCTGAACTATATCCCCAGCCTTTATTTCTAGACAGGTTCTGACTAGGTTTGTTGGGGTGGCTTTGAACTTGCAGACCTCCTGCCTTTAGCCTCCTGAGCAGCTGCAGTTATACGAATGCACCACCATGCCCGGCTGCATTGAGAGCTCTTGAAGACAGGGAGCAGTCACCTCAGCCAGGCTGCCTGAGTCTAGTTTTACACCACTTGCCCTGCCTGCACCTAGCAGAGCTGCCCCATAGTCCCATGGGCTTACATGTATGTGCCATCCCTGCAGTGTTCCCCTTCTCCTAGTGCCCTCCTCAATCACACGTAGTTTCTTTTTGTCTCGTTCTTCATCTGTCATTTTCTGACCAACTCCTATCTCTGACCCTTGGGCTTCTGGCCGGAGGTGATAAGGTATGGAGAGCCTGGAACATTCCCTTATCTGCTCAGGATGAGCAGTGAGCTACAGAGCAGGCACAGCTAAATATATTCTCCTTTAAACCCTAACCAGGCGTTTCTCCCGCCCTTCCTAAAGATTTGGGTCTTTTAAGTTTCCGCAAAGGGAAAGGAAATAGCCCATGTCAGTGAATTTGCCCTAAGACTCCTAAGCCTCCTTTCCTTTTCCTGCAGTGGTTGGCCAGAAGGAGCAGAGTAACAGAACAGTGAACATACGTACTCGAGACAATCGCCAGCTTGGGGAGCGGGACCTGATGGAGGCCGTGCAGCGGCTTGTGGAGCTGCAGAGTGCCAGGGTCGCCAATGCTGAGGAAGTGTTCTGAGCCTTTGCTCATAGCTAAGGCAAAGATCTGTGCAAGCTGTGAGCTTCTCCTAACCCAGTGCAAGTGACAGTCCCCTAAGGAGACTGTTTCAGGGCCTACTGGGGAAGGAGAGGAGTGTGTGGGTGTGAGAAGAGTAAACTAAAAAATAAACTTGAAGCTGCGGGGTGTGTCTTCATTTCTGACTCCTGAGAGGCAGGTGAGAGGATCTACCGTGGTCTCCCTCTTCTTTCTTTCTTTCATTTATTTATTGTAACTTCCTCGAGTATATTCAACTAGAATGGCAAGGCGGTATCCTATATCAAACACTCTATTTTCCCACTCCTCCCAAGGAATCCAGTCAATACATGTACAGTGAAAGGGCCTTGATCACATTCACAGTGGACACTAGACAAACCCAAGTCCCGGGTCCCTGTGCAGGGGCCTGGGCTGTGTCCTGCAGTGGCCAGCGTTGCTCCATCCCAACCTGCAGCTTCTTTCCCACAGGGCCAGCTCATGCTCTCTGCTGCTTGACCTCCAGGGTGAGCAGAGCCTGGCAACACTATGGGAGGCCAAAGAAGGTGTCCTGGTGTCCGAGTATCATTTATTTATGTTTTGTTTTGTTTTTTTTGGGACAGTATCTTGCTGTATATTCCAGACTGACCTCACTCATCTCATAACACTCCTGCCTCAGCCTGTGAGTGCTGGGGTTACAAGCATATGCCTGGCTGTGTCCCTCAGCCCGACAGTTAGCCCCACACTGAGAGAAGTCCTATACTCCACTCCTAACTGCTTAGTACCCTGTTCCCCAAACCAGTTCACTAGGTTGTCAAATCCCTTTCCACAGAAGGCAACATGCAGAGTGAGGAGCTCAAAGGTCTTCTGCCCCATGATTCTGAGTCAGTTTGTCCTGGGGTCATCCAGATGCTCCCTTCCCATTGCCTCCTTTCTTCCCAATCCTTGGAGGAGGCTGTGAGTTTGGGAGGAGTGGCTGCTAGAGGAGGAGCGGCTAGCACTGAGTCACGGCAGGAAGCTGAAGAGGGCGCGATAGCACCAGGCAGCACATAAAAGGGAGACTGCCCTGGAGTTCACAGCGGCCGTAACAGCAACCAGAGGAGCAGGCTTCCCGGAGCCTAGCATTTCAAATCCAGATCTGCCCAAGACAGGCCGGCCTTTGGGTGGCCCCAGAACGGTGGTCATGTCCAGAGCAGCTGTGATCTTGGCCTGTTTGGCAGTCGCTTCTGCAGCCTCTGAGGGAGGTGAGTAGGGGTGGGGTCAGCACTTGGAAGGAGCCTGGCTCTTCAGCGGCAGAGTGATCTGGCCTCCCCTTTTCTGAGCTGGCCCAAGCGGGGGCCCGAAGCACCGCAGCATTTAGGAGGGAAGTGGGAGAAGAAAGAGGGGTTCCTAGAGATTGCTAAGAAATTCAAAATTGAACTCAAGTAGACAGCTGAGTGGGAGATGAACACAGGATAAGGTACCTCTGCCTAACGAAGATGTAGGTGAGGCCTGTGGGGCAGGTGAGTGAGGGAACTCTCTCCCCCTCCCCGCTCAAAACCTGTTTCCTGAGCAGGGTGTGAAGATGTACTTATAATCTCAGCACTCAAGGCTGAGGCAGGAGGGTTGCCTCAAGTTTGAGGCCAGCCTGAGCTATAATAGTTCAAGGCCAAAATGAACTATATAGTGAGATCTTGTCTCAAAAATCTAGAAAAGAAAAAAAAATCAGTTTGCTGAGCCAGGGAGGTTCGAGTGAGCCATTGGTTAGAGGGAAAGTGAAGGGGGGAGCCCAGCAAGGCCCCACCCCCTGTGGGTCGGGTACACACTCTATGCTTTGTCTGAACAGAACAAACTCTAGAAGGAGACTTGGGAGACAGAGCCCACAAGAGACAGAGCCCACATCTTGGTAAAGCCCTGCCTCATTCCCCGCTCCTAGTTTCTAGTCTTTGGTTCTTGCAGATCATCTACCAATGATTCCTTTGGTCTGTTCTCAGCCCAGTCCCCTAGCTTCTACACTGAGAACTAAGTTTAGGAGGAACTAAGACCAGTTGAAAGGACATACTTAATTTTTGGTTGAAGCAGGGCATGGTGGCACACACCTGTAATCCTGGCACTTGGGAGGCTAAGGCAGGAGGATTGTTGCAAGTTCAAGGACCAGCCTGAACTGCACAGGGAGACCCTGTCTCAAAAAGATTTTTAAAAATAAATAAATAAAAAAGACAACCAAAATTTTTTTGGTTGGGGATTCTATCAAAAGGCTGAAAGATGTTTAAAGGGCCTGGAGTAGGGCCAAGGCTGGAGGAGACAGGCCAGGAGGCCCTGGCCAGCTCAGGTCAGACGTCTCAGAAAGCCAAGAAGCTTCACAGAGCAGCTGCCACGAGAACACCACAAGCCCTACAGGGAGCTGCTAATGGGACATTATCTTCTGTCCTTCACCCCATACCATTTCCCTTTAGGTCCAGCCCCCAGACCAGGCTTCCCCAGAACTCAGTCACATCCAGGGGACACAGGGCAGGCACAATCTAGGGGTGGTTTTCCCATGTCTTGGTTGGTTTCCTACATTCAACCGCTGCAGCTCGCCATCCCGTGCTCAGGGCCAGGAAAGACTTCCTCAAAACTGTGGCTGAGCTGTCCTCTCTCTCCCAGGCTTCAAGCCTGCAAGACAGAGAGAACTGAGACCACTACGTCCCACTCAGCGCTTTGAAGAAGGTAAGAGCCAGGCACTGCGGTACATTTCTGTAATCTTGGCTATTCTGGAGGCTGAGGCAGGGCAGTTAAAAGTTTGAGGCCAACCTGAGCACTTAGCTAGACCTTGGCTGGAATTAAAAATAAAAAGGGGGGGGGGCTGGGGATTTAGCTCAGCGGCAAAGCACCTGCCTAGCAAGTGCAAGGTCGTGAGTTCGGTTCCCGGTGCCGGAGAAAAACTAAAAAAAGAAAAAAAAAAAAAAAAAAAAAAAAGGGGGAAAAAGCCTGGAGGTGTAGCACAGTGGTAGAGCTTGCCTAACATGTGAAGACCTGGATTCCATCCCCAGTACCTCCAGAAAGAGGGAAGATGAGAGTTTAGAGAAGCAAACTAGGACCAGGAGTCCAGGAGAAGTTGCGGGCTCTCTCTCCTGTCTCTAGTGGGCTATGCAGAACCCCCCTCCCCGCCCCTGAGCTGGAGCAGAGGCCTCCCCACGGGTCACCATGACGCTTCTCAGCTGGACCCTCCCTTTGAGGGACAGGTGGAAGGTAAGGCCACAACTGCCCCTCCAGCATCGTGCCCTTCAGGGAGGCAGAGCGGAGCAGCCCAGGCCCTCTCTGGGCCGGCAGAGTGGCTGCTCCTACAGCCCTTTTCCTGCTACTTCTGCTCCCCGGTGCCCTGTTGAAAATGTGAGCTCAGGTTCGTTCCCTGCCTCTCCCCTGCCAGCTCCCTGGTGTGATCTGCACCCCTGTGTCCTCACCCCTGTCTTGCAGTGAACCTTCCCCCGGTCCCTCAGGAAGAGATACCCCTCCAACAAGAGCTGCCCGCTGCCCGGCGCCCTGATGGGAAGCAAGGTGAGCGAGCGCTCATTCCCAGCCTCCAGCTCCACGAGCTCGCTGGCGCTGTCTCATTTGCACCCTTTGTCCTCACCCCCATCTTCCAGTGGACACCCCTGTCCCTCAGGAAGAGATCCCTCTCCAGCAAGAGCTGTCCCCTCCGCTGCACCCTACTGGACCGAAAGAAAGTAAGCAACTCCCTCTCTTCTCTAGGCCTCTTCACCCCAGGTTGGACCCCAGAGGCGGGCAAGCTGGGGGCCCTGCCATGTAGCAGCTGTCACCTCAGAGGAGTCATTCGCATCTCCAAGCCTTAATTTCTTCATCTGTAAAATTGAAAAAATAATAGCTATTTTATAGTTATGTGATTAAGTGATATGAAGATAGAGTCTTTTTTTTTGTCTTTCTGAGACAGGGTCTCCCTATGCAGTTCAGGCTGGCCTTGAGCTCACTCTGTAGTCCAGGCTGGCCTCAAACTCACAGTGATCCTCCTGCCTCAACCTGCTGAGTGCTGGGATTACAGGCATGCGCCACCACACCTGGCTCCAATAGTTCTTATTTTCACTTACTTCTCTGCTGAGACCTAGCCTGGTGCCTGTCACCCACACCAATATGGTTTTCACTTATGCTTCTCCTACCCCAGTGGGCTCACCCCTCACACGCCAGGAGGAAATAGCACAGTCTGGGCAGACAGAGGGTGAGTGACAGCGTGGGGCTCCCCACCCCCTGCCTGCATGCTTGGCCCCCAGGGAGAGGAGCTGGCACCTGAGCCTTGGGCAGGTATTTGGAAGGAAGGGTCAGCTCCAAGGTGACCCCTTCACACTTTTTTCTCTTTTCCTTTCTAGACAGTCATCCCAAAGGTAAGAACACAAATTAATTTTCTGCTGGTTTCCCCTGTGTCCTCCCAACCTTTTCTCCTCACCCTAATTATTCAGTCTTCCCTGCCTGTCCAGCTTATATCGAATCCTCAACACCCACACCTCACTGTTTTACCCCTTTCAGAAAAGCCTGGTCCCCTCCCTGGTCAGGGCCCTTCGGACACTCAGTCTTGGAACCCAGCCCAGCACTGCCAGCAAGGCCGATTCCGAGGGGGCTGGGGCCACCGGCTGGACAACTTCCCCCCGGGGCGGCCTTCTGCAGACAATCTGAACCAGATCTGCCTTCCGGAGCGGAGACCCCTGGTGTACGGCCCGTGGAACCTGCCCCAGTCTGGTTACTCCCACCTTAGCCGCCAGGGCGAGACCCTCAATTTGCTGGAGACTGGCTATTCCCGCTGCTGCCGCTGCAAGAGCACCACACACAGGCTGGAGTGTGCAAAGCTTGTGGTAAGGCCTGGGACCCTGGTGGTGGGGTGCAGGGCCCCAGAGCCATGTGTGGGCCCTGCCGTGCGGCTCCAGCAGTCAGGGGAGCGGAGGACAACTGCTGCTGCTGCTCTCTTACCCAGCTGCCAGGGACCCTTTCTTGGACCATGGCGGAAGGCAGGGATGTGGGCAGGGGCTTCTGGGCTGACCCGCCCTTCTCGCTCTAGTGGGAGGACTCGATGACCCAGTTCTGTAAGGCCGAGTTCTCGGTCAAGACCCGACCATACTCGTGCTGCAAGCAGCAGGGGGAGGCCCGGTTCGCCTGCTTTCAGGAGGGAGCTCTTCGGCCACACTACCAGCCCCGGGCCTGCCCCAGCCACCAGCCTGGCATTTCTGTGGGCCTGGAGGTACCCTTTCCCCCTGGGCGGCCCACACTGGACAATGTCAAGAACATCTGCCACCTGAGACGCTTACGTTCTCTGCCACGCGACCTCCCAGCCACTGACCCCATCCAAAGGCAGCTCCAGGCTCTGACGCAGCTGGAGGCCGAGTTCCAGCGGTGCTGCCACCAGGGGAGCAACCAGACCTGTGCACAGAAGGCCGTAAGTGGGCGTCCCAGCCTGCCCGTCTCCAGCCTGAGTCCACTGACCTGTCCGTCCGTGTGCCTCCCTGCTGTGAGCACGTCCACGTCCGTCTGCTTGTGATTATCCGTCCGTCCGTCCATCTGCCCATGTGTCGTGAATCTGTTCATCTGAGCCTTCACGCTACAGTCCTGGCCTCGTCCATCGCGACCCGCATGACCACCATGCGCCTGGCTGCCACCATCCACCTGCTCCGCCTCACCTGTCCCTCTCCTCCCACTGCTCCAGCGCATGTCCTTGGCCACCTCAGAACACAGTCTGTGCTTCCTCCCGTCCACCTGCTCCACAAGCCCACAGCTGCTTCCGGGCCCTCAGGCTCTTCACCTTCCCTCTGGCCTGAGGCTGGAGCCCTTGTCTCAGAGCTGGGCTGCTAAGGGAAGCAGAGGGTGAGAGAAGGGGCCAAGGGTACGGGCTTCTGACTTCCCTCTCTTGCCACAGTGGGAGGATGCCCTGGACCAATACTGTGACTGGGAGCAGGCCATAAAGACCCACCACCACACGTGTTGCCACTACCCACCCAGCCCCGCCCGTGATGAGTGCTTTGCCCAGCGGGCTCCCTTCCCCAACTATGACCGGGACATTTTGACACTCGACCTCAGCCGAGTCACCCCCAACCTCATGGGCCATCTCTGCGGAGACCGAAGAGTTCTCAGCAAGTAGTGAGTGCTGCCTGGTTCTTCCCTAACACTCTTCCCGCCCACCCCTCTCTTCCGGGATGCCCTTGGAGAGCACACTTCTGGCCCCCACCACTGCAATGCAGGGTATGTTCAAAGACCCTCACCCCTCCCTCTTTCACAACATAGTAAACAGATTCCTGGGCTGATCTGGAACATGACCACCCGCTGCTGTGAGCTGCCATTTCCAGAGCAGGCCTGCTGTGCTGAGGAGGAGGTGAGCTGTGGGGAAGGGGCCCCAGGCTGCAGAGGAATGCAGGGGAGTAGGGGAGAAGGCTAGGGCTGCAGGCTGTTCTGTGTCACACCTCCAGTCAGCCCCAGAAGGACCTATCTCCTTAGTTCCTGACCTGGCCTGCTCCCTACTCCTAAATTCCAATTATATCTTCTCTGGGTGTCAAGCTTCTGGCATTTCTAAATGTGTACATCTGTCAGTCACAAGGAATCCAGCTGTGAAGTCAGCCCTGTACTTTCAGAGTCTCAGGAAGGGATCCAATGTGAGAGCAGGAGGAGCTGATGGGAGGAGGACATTAGCAGCTGGCTATTGCTGCCTGACTTCTGGACACCCCTACCTCTCTGCTTTGCTCTTCTCCATCAGAAATTGGCCTTCATTGCTGATCTCTGTGGGCCTCGACGCAACTTCTGGAGAGACTCTGCCTCATGCTGTGACCAGAGGCCTGGGGATGGACAGACCAACTGCTTCAACATCAATTACCTGAGGAACGTGGCTCTAGTGGCTGGAGACACTAGGGATGCCAGGGCGGAGCGGGGTCCAACTGGGGGAACAAATGTCAGCCCTGCCCCTGAGTCCAAGGAAGAATGAGTCACTGCGGAGCCTTGGAGGATCAGACTGGGGAGCTCCACCCCACCCTCTTTGAACGCTTATTACAGTAAACACCTCCTGGATCTGGTGTCCTCATTGTCTGTCACACGCAAACACACCCTCTAAGCCCATGTGGATTTCCCTCGGGGACTGGCCCCATGCCCGGGTCCTGCTTCGAGCCAGCAGAAGCCATTCCTCTAAGCAAACAGTGTAACTGCACCACTCAGCGTCCCGACCCCGTTCACACATGTGAAAAGGAGCGCCACCTCATTATTTGTCAGGATTCATGGTGAACAAAGATACCGTCTGTATCCTTGATGAGCCTCCAAAATGCCCCAGCTCAGCGTGATGTTTTACTTCTTTTGCAGTTGGGGTCACACCTAGGGTCACACGAATGCTAAGCACACACTGAGCACTCAGTGAGCGACGTCCCCAGCCCTGCCGCCGTTCTATTTATTTATTTCCGTATTTACTTATGTATGTATGTATGTATGTATGTATGTATTTGAGACCGGGTCTCACTGTGACCTCAGGCAGGTCTCGAACTCAGGTGACCCTCCTGGCTCAGCCTCTAGAGCACTGGGTCACAGGCATTGACCGCCACACCCCATGTTAAAATCTTCGCTCGCGATCCTTGGAGTCCGTGCACTGACCCACTCCGCATCCCTTTCTTGACACCCTCTCCGTTCCTCTGTGCATACTGGGCAAGACTTAGACGTTACGTGTCTTAAAAACACGGCCCTGCCCTGAAGTTAGTCACGGCCCACGAGCCGTGACAAACGTCGTGCTGTGGTCCGTGCTGCGGCACCGGGTGGCCCAGACGCCAGTGCGCCCTGCGGAGGACGGCCCGGAAGGGAACGCGCCCAGCGAGCCTCGGGCGGCCGGGCCAGAGCCGCCCAGGAGGGAGAAGGGCGAAGGCGGCCGCGGCCCCCGCAGGGCCGCCTCCCCGGGGGCTGGTGCTAAGCGGACACCGGGGGCTTCAAGCTGACGCTGTGCCCGGGTTTGCCGCTCAGAGCGCCTGTCGGCAGTCCGCCCGCGCCGCCGCACCGTGCCCGTGACGGGGCGGCCCGGAGCCGCAAGGCTCGCAGCGGAGGCCGGGCCGGCCGGGCGGGGCAGGTCCCCGGGACGCTCCCGTCAGGACGCCTGTGCGGAAAGACGGACTTCCTGGCCCCGTGTCGGGGAAGGGGTGAACCCAGCCAGGGCCAAGCTGAGCCTCCGCAGTTCCCAAACCCGCACCCGCCGCTGCTTCCCGTCTCCACCACAGCCTTCTATTTATTTACTTATTTTCTGTTTAAGTGGTTGTTGCCAAGTCGTTTATTGGCGTAGCCTCGCCGGCTGTCCGCCCCGCCTATCCGTCAGCACGAGGACCAATGAGCGGGCAAAAGCAGAGATAGGCCCCGCCCCTGCCCCGGCAGCCCCGCCCCGCGCAGCTCCCTGAGCTCCTGCGCAGGCGTCTGCAGGCCCACGGCAGGGCCGGGCTGGGCGGAGCCCATCTTCGCTTGCTGGCTCCAGAGCCGGTCCGAGCCCCATGGGGAGTGGCGGGCACGGAGCCCTCTGCCAGGAACGTGTCGCGGGGCCAGGGAGCCCGCCGACCGGAGCGTCTGATTTTAAAGGGCGCTGGGAGATGCTTGAGGGCTCCTGCGCAGTGAAGGCTGATGGGGAGGGAGAGTCAGGCCTGGGAGCCCCCGCACCGCGCCCGTCCGCACCCTGAGCAGCGCCTGCCTGGTCGTGTAAGGTCCTGAATTCGATTCCCAGTACAAAAAAACAAGTGTACATTAGGAGGGCGGGCCCATGAGAAGGGAGCCTCAAGAATGGGATCAAGAATGGGGTCGGTGCCCTTATAAAGGTGACTCCTAAACTGCACATGGTGGGGAATGCCTGCAGCCCCAGCTGGTTGGCTGAGGCAGGAGGAATGCAAATTCCAGGCCACCCTGAGCAAGCTGTGAGAACCCTTCTCAAAATAAAAATGTAAGAGGGCCGGGGAGGTAGTTCATTGGCATAGTGCTTGCCTGGCAAGCGAGGTCCTGAGTTCCATTCCTAGTA